CATATAAGGTTTTTATCGTAGAAAACCAGTAGTTTCTGAGTTATAGGCCGCCAAATATAGGGCTGCAGCGCGACCTGCTGGAATTGCCCGAGGCTATATCTCGGAAACCGTTGTTCGAAGAAAAAATCCTTGCCACAGCTGGCTTCCCCGCCCATCACAACCCCTTACACCAGTTTTCAACGAAAAAAAAATATGAGGGTGCAAATTTAATTTTTTATTTGTCGATTTGTCGTGGAACGCCCCCATAGTGAGGGGGGCATATGTTACCTACCACCAACCTCTAATTCAAAAAGTAAGAGGGCTAGGCTAGAAAGACGCAGTACAAAGCAGTCGATAGCTCTCAATGTGTACGTTTGAAAGTAGGTATTTCGGTCATTTCTCATCTTAGAGCAATATTGGGGTCACCGGAGGTCATCAAAGGTAAAACTTTGCCAAATGTCATTATATTTTTCAGAATACATGCCATTATCTCAGGAACTGTGATAGCTAGCAAAAACACTTGGAAAAGCAATCGATAGCTTTTTAACTCTTCTTTTGATAAGGCCATCATCAAAATTGACGTCAGGTCAACGGTTGAGCCTCCATAGGTCAAATATTGTAAAAATAGCTGTTTTTGGATAGAACCTTTTCACGAATAACTTTTGAACCAGCAAAGATCAAGAATTGGCAATGGCACTATCGTGTTTCTCTCCTTCAGTCGCTTCGAAACATTTATTTTTTACTTGGAAAGGTCAATGTCAAATTTCTCACCTCAGGTCAAGGTCACGTGGTGACCCAAATAGGTCATGTTGCATTTCATTCGATGCGTATCGACAAGACACAAACACAATGAAGCATTCCCCAGCGTTCTATCTCTTTCCAATCGAGAGTTAATCGCAAAACAATGTTTGTAGTCTCAAATGACCTCGGATGACCTTTCTGAGGCGATCAGCAAAAAAGACACCATGGTCGTCACGGGTGGTCCAAATCATTGTGATTCTGAAATATTTGGACTGTTCCTATGCGTACACACGGATCTAGAGGCATGTTTATTTTTCTCCATTGACTTATAATGGAAAGGTCACGCTTCTGTCCTGACCTTAGGTCACGGATATTAAAATCTAAAATATATAAAATTATAAGTGCCCATAACAGCATGCAATCCATTCAGTTTAAAACCTCTCTGACAAACACTGCAGGCTGGACATGATTGCAAACTTTTTTGGCTTCGTCAGTTAACTTGACCTGGCGACCTGACCTGACATGACCTGGGGTCAAGAGTTTCACACATTGTCCAAAATTGATGTACAGAAATAAACTCCAAGCGGCGCGGTTTCTTATTCGCACGCAATAAACGCGGCTGGGTGTTAACATATGCCCCCCCCCCCCCCACTGGGGCGAAGGTTAAAACTTTTTATGACGTGAGGTCACTTAACCCGCGCCGGGCCGGGGGGTTTGAACACCCTGCGGTTTTTCGCAGATATCTCAAAAATGGTGGCGCGGAGCGGCGCCGCCGTTTTTGGCACACCTGTTCGTGCATCTTTTCCGCACATGTTGTGAAAATTTCAGACCCAGGTCGCCTTAGGTCAGGTCACCAGGTCACGCCAAGTGACCTCACCTCAGAAAAAAAATAATGCTCGTCATAGCTACACCGATTGATCGATTGCCTTGAAACTTTCAGCGATTTATAAGAGCAACATTATCTATAAAATGCATATCTCGGAATTTTGATATCGGTGACCTAAGGTCAGGTCAATTTTGAGGCCTCTCCATTATAAGTCAATGGGAGAAAATTGAAAAGCGTCTGTTTTGCACGAACGCTATTCTAGACACTCTCAAACATCGAGATCATTAGCGTCGCCACGGGGGGGGGGGGCAAGCGGGGCAGCTTGCCCCCCCCCCCCAACCTCGGACCGGGCACCCCCTGAGATCGATACAGATCCGATGAGATTTAGGGGTCGGGAAAAATGGGGGGTATTTTTCTGAGAATGCCTGTGAGGTCAGACTCGGTTGGAGCGTGCAGTTCAAACCAGAGTCGGAGTCGCAGTCGCCAAAATCTTCAAGAATCCTACTCCAGACTCGGAAATGTCAATGCTGTGGTTCATTCCCTGTTCCTAGTTGGTTCTTTATTACATTTTATAGCTTATTTTCATAAGTTTTGGAGTGCTGACACATAATTTTCGTTCAAAGCATGACACGAAATCTTCGGGACCTTTCTCAATTCTCGTCAAATGTCTGCGACAGGCTCAAGTACTGTTCAAGCGTCGCAAGGTTCATGAGCTTGCTTTTCACACAGGCTCCTAAGGAGCTCTACTGAGCTCTAAGAAGCTTTCAGAGGGCCCAAATCGGCCTCTGAGAGTCCCACTGGTGGCCATGTTCTCTGAGGGTCCATACAGGGATCTTTGAGGATCTTATACATACGTAGACCTCCGAAGGGCCACACGGATCTTTGAGGATGCCTTCGAAAATTTCTGAGAACCTTAACTGGCCTCTGATAGCTCAGCCGAACTTTTGAGGCGACAGACTTTGCTAACCCCAAGCCGGCATCTGAGGGGTCACAAATCACGTGTCCCTCTCAGGGCCGCAACACATGTTTCTTTTGTCCCTACGTAGCGTCCTTAGGGATTCGAAACAGACCCCGATGGTTCACACTGTTATCCGAGGACTCCAAGCTCCCCTGTGCCTAGTCGCTTAGCGCCCGCCACCCACACTGGCTTCTGAGGGCCCCACCTTGGGCTCAGAAAGCCCTAAAGCACCACATACACGTAAATATTTGGGGTGACCCTCGCCGATCTCCGGGATCCTAAGCAGGCTTCTGAGAATCCAAACTGACCGTGAGTGGCCTGAAATGGCCTAGAAGTACCAAGCTTATCTTAACGGGATCCCTTGCCGCTATGCCGTGCGTAACTTTTGGTTCCGTTAAACATTTTTTGTTCGCGTTTGCAGCGCTTCCCTTCACACGAAAAACGAGAAACTTTTTGTTCACACTCGAGTTAACAAAACACTTCACCTCGCGGGAGCAAAGATAAATTACTTCCGATTCACACTTCCGACATTCACTCTCCGCCGAATGCCCAACTTAGCCACAATCGGCGGCTGGTATAAGCCCTATGCATTTCATGTAAAACCTCTGCATGCATGCGTGAATGGAGTTTTGGCAGGGTGATCCGATCAAATGGACCGTTTTTTCACCATTTTTCTGGGTGATGATCATGAGCGACGAGCGCCTGCACAGGGGCCCTCTGCAGTGCGTCGGCAATTGCAGCCACTGTAATTCTACCGGTCGTTTTTTGTCCGGAAATTTCAAAATCTCGTATTTGTCTGTAAAAAATTACATGTCATAGCTAGAAGAAAAACATTGTCACCATCGGATTCCTCGCACCATTGCGCGTCGAATGATATGTAAAACGAGTGAGTAGCGACTGGGAAAGGCAAGATTTAACACAAAAGTTGATTTTGCCCCCCAACCGAAAATCTCTGGCGACGCCTATGATCGAGATGTAGGTAAAATTGACACACTGAACCGTAAAATGGCAACTGTGACCCCTCGTTAAGTCCCCGAGGTCATCTCAGGTCACGAACAGCATCTAACAGTTTTTCGTAACTTCTGATAGAGGCGTGCTAGAGCGCTGAAAACGCCTTAGATGTGTTCGGCTCGACGTTGCGGATCGACTGATATGCAACATGACCTTTTCCGGTCAGGTCATGACCTTGACCCGAGGTCAAATTTTCAAGTTGACCTTTCAAGTTCAAATTATAGTTCATTCGACGCGTCTCGACGAGAGGAACACGATGCTGGCAAAAGAAATGTCATGGCTCTTTTGAGTCAAAAGTTATTGCCGAAAACCACTTTTCGTAAAAACGGCTATTTTTGGAGTTTTTGCCTTCTGGAGGCTAGACCGTTGCCCCGAGGTCAAATCTGAGAGCATTAATCAGAAAGGTCTGTAAAAGGGCTATCGAACGCGCTTTTCCGCGGCGCTGTAGCTCTATCGGTTCCCGAGATAGCCGTTGGCAGTTTCCAAAATGTTGAAATAGTCAGCATTTTACCTTTGGTGACCTCTGGGGACCTGACCTTTGACCTGACCCAAAAAATGACCGGTGTTTTCGTCCTTATTTTGGACGTTCTTTAGATTGTCGCTTACCGCGTGTCGCTACGTGGCCCAGGAGCCGAGTTAGAAGGGAGGAGGGTGTTCAGACACCCCCTCCCCCCCCCCGGCCCGGCCCGGAATCTCAGAGCACCGGCCGGCTCGGGTTAATGTGACCTGGTGTCCTGACCTTGAGTAACCTTGGCCTGAAGTTTTCACAGCATGTGTGGAAAAGATGTAGGTATGAATTGGCGCACCAACAACGGCGGCGCGCGCCGCCGTTTTGTAGATATTCGAGAAGAACCGAAGAGGGGGTGTTCAAACACTTCAAGCAGGGCGCAGGTTAATGCCTTATACGACTGACCAATTTATTCATATTTTAAGCTGCAAAGCTACACTAACTGGATGCCAATGTCACTGGCAAGGATGGGAAATACTTATCTTTCTAGCTGGTTTATTTGTCATTGGGTCTACAATGCAGGAATATTTCTATCTCGCACTTCTCTGAGATGCAAGGATAAGGTCTCGAGGGTTCATAGCCAAAAATCAAGACTTCAAGTGATGACGGGTCAATAACTGAACCATATTTAATGATTGTGTATGAACCCTATGAAATGAAAACAAACTAATTTTAATCTATTTTTACGTGGATGAATATAACATTTAAATATAATATTCAATTAATTAAGAATAAACCTCAACATAGAAAGATATGGGATTCTTCATGGCTCACTCGTGGAAGATCGGATATCTTTTCCTCTCGTGTTACAGAAAAACCTCGCTCCTTTGTCGCTCGGTTTTTCAGTAACCCGCTTGGAAAAGATATCCTCATCTTCCACTCAGAGCCATGAAGAATCCTCTATATGGATGGAAAATCATAAAAAAACAACACCACACTTTTGGATAGCTCTTGATATATACAAAATTTCCACAGACCTTTTTCAAAGCAGAGATTCTGCTCCTTCTCTGGCATGATCTTTGTTAGCACGCCAGCAGCAGTGAGTTCTTTTTCATGGGGTTTACATTTCACCTCCTGTAAAATGAGAAGTCTAATCAATACAACTTAAAATAAATATTAAGTGCCTACAAGATGTTTCAGCCTACATCTATTACTTGGAATGATAGAAATACAACAAGATGCCTTTTGGGGCAATCAACAAGTGAGCATGGACAAACAAAGGCGATGCAAAGAAATGTGCAGATGAAGATGTACAGCTGAATATTTGCACAGCAAATATATGCTGGAAAAAGATTTGTTCTAAAATCCTGATCAGATGAATGCCTCTGCACAGACTGTGGGTCTGTTCCCGAGGCTAATAAAAAAAAGGAAAAATATGGATGGAGGAAGGCTGGATGAGCTTCAAGGAGAGCAGTTTTGGAGCATCCATGGGACTATCCCCAAGAGGAAATCAGCTGTTTGTGGGCAGCAACAGTTTACAATGTATGGCACACCAATGATCGTTGAATACAAATTATCTCAATCCCTGCACCATTGTTCACTTCACTCAAATCTCATTGTTCAGCAATTCATGCTAGCATTGTATGCACCAATATACCTCTACCAAAGCCTCATCCAGGGCCCTGTTTTGCAGCAAACTGCCAGCATGAGTGCCACATTGGGTTTCCAAGGAGACATCAACAAACTTGTACTCTCTAATATTGAGTCAAGTCATCAACCTTGGCCCTGTTTCACCGGTGATAGCAGCACCCGGCTGCTATTACAGTGTCAAATTGGGTTTCCATGGAGACGTCAACAAGCCTATTCCTCCAACACTAACATAAGTGTGACGTCAGCTCGCGAAATAGAATAGTAGCGCGCCGCTATCAGCGGTGAAACAGGGCCCTTGGGTCCAGGTCCAAGCATGACATCATATGTTTGACCACAACTTGTGACATTAGCCTACAAAGTGAGCCAATAGCAGCTCCTGGATAGCAGAGCGTGATGGAACAGTAGGTACAGTCCACAGCAGAAGTAATGTGGGGTTTCAGTCATGCTCATGGGTATGTTCTGCTTCTGAAGCTTAGGAACGATTAGCCAGACTACAATGAAACTTTGAATGTACCTAGCTTATATGTATCGTCACCCTTGCAGCTGCAACTTTAGCTATTGACATCTTCTTTTCGATCACTCCGCATTAAACAATCGCCAGTCAAAGCCAACCGTTGAGATTGGTAAAACTCTACATTACTTACCTAAGCGGTGGGCTGTACCTGCCTACCCTGAAATCTATTTTTGTTTGGGAAGAAGGAGAATAATGATGGTGACATGCTTCTGCTGTTCCTATGATGTCATTTGGAAGCAATAATTTGACATTCTGAAAGTGCAGCAGATATTACGCAAAGCAGTATATACACCACGTTTTACCTTACCTTACCTTACTTTGATCAGAATTTGATGTTTGCCCAGTGGGCGTCCAGCCTAGATTTGAAGAGGTTTTAACAATGGTTTTAGTAAAAGAGTTAAAAATCGTTAGATCTCTGCTGACATCAAATTCTAAGGGGGCATTCAAATGCATTAATTAGCCTCTTAGCATCTGAAAACTGCAAATTTGAAATAAAATATCTCTGAATAAAGCGATTCTTGATGTTTTGAGTTCCGAAACCGGTAAGTACAAGGCAGGGATACCAATTAGGCTATTTCAACTCAAAACTAATGTTAAGGTGGGATGGTCACTTTAAAGAGGAAATCAAAGGACCTAGAAGAAGGTCCAATGAACCACTGGAACAGACCCCAAGCTTTAAGGATTGGGAGCAGCCGAGACCCATGATGCATGAAATATAGATCATGCCATGCATGTCAGATGACATCCTCATACCATATAAGCCGTGCTCATATAATCATACTCACATAAATGCAAACCGCATGTTGAGTTGCAACTGCAATTTTGTTATCTTTTGACCAATCAACTACAAAATCATTTAGAAGAGCCCCAGGCTCATGGAAAAGCTGTGTGAGCTTAGCCATACCAAGTTGCAGTTTCAGGTCTTGAATTTAACGAGTTGAGGGCTTCCGCTTGAAGCCTTGAAGTCTTTATTTGTAGAGGTTTGAAGCGTTTGAAAGTTCCCAAACTATCCCAAGGCTATAGAACTCCAGGTAAGGACACCAGCCGTTTGACCTTGAACGCCGCCGGCCGGCCGATGACGTCATTGGAGGCAAGCCGGCTCGGCGGACGCATCGAGCGAGCGTATAACGGAGGAGCGTTGGGACGTTGCGGGAGCCGGGGAGAGATTTTAAAGCGTTTGCATACCACCATTGTTATATTAATTGATCTAGACTGCATTCTTATAAAGCTCGACGCATCTTAGGCCTGGATGGTGCGTACATTCGTAGAACGGTCCGACGTCCGTGGTCGAAGCTGTCTACTTTATATACCAAAAGACGCCAAGACCGGTGCAATAACGGCGACCCGATCCCGTCTGGTGATAGACTCGTTAAGACCCAGGCCGAGTCTGACCCGTCTACTTTTAGGGAAACGGGGTGGGTGAATTGACAACCGAATACCGATGGTTAGAATTGATCCCGTCGTAGAGCGATGGTTGATTGACAGACAAACAACACATGTTGTAGTGGGCGGATAAGCATCAGGGATAATGCCTGAACGTAGGCAAGCATAATTGGTCTGCCATATTGTTTAGGAATATGGAATCGTAACGGAGGTCCTTGAGGATATGATCTCTACCTACATAATTACTGTTAAACCCTCGGTCCCGGGCAACTCCGGGGAGCTGCAGTACCTATCCGGCGGCCACCTCGTCGACTCGCAGGTCCTGTGGGCTTCCGTGATGCTTCATTGCTTCGCCCAGAGGCACGGGTAGAGCAGTAGGATGTGGGGTAAGGTGTCTGTGACTGTACGCCTCTTCATTGTAGGTACGACGTATACAGCGCCCAGTCCCGCCGAAGCTCGATAATCGACCGTGACATATTCTTAACTGGCGGATCCAGGAAGCGGTCTTGAACACATCGGGGGGCATATACCCTAAAAAAGGTTTCTGTGAATTAAAAAAAGCATCGGATTTCCATTCCTTGTGCACTACTGTGCAGTTCGATCAATAAACTTTTCCTCAGAAAAGTTGTGAAGTTTTCGTTTTATTCTCGTAAAACGATTTCGGACGCTGCCCCGGATGTGGGCCTGTGGGGGATAACATTTGTCCCCTTGGATCCGCCAGCGGGTTGCCCCACCCTGAGCTTAACTAAAAACGTCTTAAAATCACACCAAAGAGCCGAATCCGACAACTCATCTCTGTCTGCCCGTCTAAATTACTGCGCACCGTACGGTGCCCTGCTCCGTCGGAGCTCTGAACCGACCGTGATATTTTTGGTTTTCCCTCATCCCAAGCTCCATTAGAAACGTTCTCTCTCCCCATCCAATTGCTCATGATGTCATTTCAAATTCAATACCTACCTCATCTCTGTCTGCCCGCCCATTCATTGCACACCTTACGGCGCCCGGCCCCGCCAGAAGGATCCTAGCGCGCTGAGTGGTTGCCTCCAGCCGCGTCATCGCGAGGCCCCGCGAGGCCCGCAAATGAATACATTGCGTGAATAGCCGTGTCGCCCCCCTGAACTATCCCAGAACCTTTGAAAAAAAAAACATGCAATGCATGTTTTCGATTCCCATCCAGAAATGACAAACACAACTTCTGATTGGCCGATTTTTGGCTGACAGACGCAGAATACTTGTCAGCCATAGAATACTATACTTTGGCACTTTTTCAATAACGACGCATACGTTACGTTAATAAGTTAGGGCAGCAAAAATATTGTAATGGATCTAGTATGTTAAGTATAACATTTTTTGGAAGCCCGTACGAATTGATTCTTGTGAGTTAGATGTTACAAAGCATGAGAAGAAATCATTGTTCTCAGTTAAAGTTTTTAGCCACTGACATACGCCCGACAGTCTCCAGAATCCTGCGTACGGGGACACAGCAGCCTCTGAGTGCTGTTACCGCAATAGGTATGGGGAGAAAGCACGGACGTATAAATAAACTGGACCCGCAACCACCTCCATTCAGGTGAAGCCGACAAGGCGCCATCTTACGTTGCCAAAACCCGTGCTCTGAAAGGTCATCGAGCCAATACAATTGGAATTGCGTCTAAACGGATGATCGGATCGAGATGCTGGTGGTACCGTTCGACGGGTAATGCTTTCAGGCAGGTGATGATGCATGTCACAGGTTATTCGGTGTCACGTGGCGCGTGCCACGTGCCGACAAAGTCAGGAAGGGCAAAAACCTTTAAGCGACGCTCCAAATTAAACGGTGGGCGGCACAGGTGCCAAATTCACAGGTCACATGTCCCGGTGTTTGGCCATTAACATATGGTATGCTCGGCGGCAGGGGGTGCGGAATGCACGCGCCCGAGGCGAAAAACATGTTTTGAGGAGGCATCCTCCGATTCCGGAAAACCTTGACCTAGGCACACCAAATTTGGCACACTGACACGGCTGGACGAACGCTTTAAGGCGCTGTACAAATAAATGTGCTGGGGTGCACGGTGCACGTGCTGTGCACGTGCAAACCTTTTGACGTTGCACTCTGTGTCACATATACGGCAGAGCGGGTAGCGCTAGCAAGTTCAAAGTGCCAAATGTACACAGGCCATCCAGAATGCATTCCCGCATAGTTATTGAGCATATCCATCTCCTGGTGGACCCCGAAGGTGCGCTCTGCACGTGCAAAAAAAATTGTCCGCGCCGGGCGGTGGGGATGCTTGGAAATGGACACTCCATGTGGATTTATGTAAATATCTCGAAAACGGCGTTGTGTAGCGCCGCCGTTTTTGGCACACCTATTCATACATCTTTTTCACACATGCTGCGTAACTTTCAGACTTAGGTCACTCAAAGTTAGGTCATCAGATTACGTCCAAGTGACCTTACCTTAGGAAAATTGTTATAGTGCCCGTCATAGCTACACAGACTGAACAATCGGTCTAAAACGTTGGCAGCGATTACTAAGAGCACCAATACGTAAAGTACCTCTACCTCGGAATTTCACTGTCAATGACCTAGGGTTTTGTTGATTTTGCGACCTTTCTATTATAGGTAAGTCAATGGGAGACAGTTAAACTGCGCTTCTGTTGCACGAAACTCATATAAACATACTAAACAATGCACTCAAATATGAAATAACGGGACACGGGTAGCACGGAAACGTGACAAATTTAATCGGGAAATTGTACCTGTAACTTGTACTTACTTATGTCCTGGGGTTATTTCAGGTCATGATAGCCCTCCACAACATTTTGACAGTAACCTTTGGTAGAGACGTGCAAGAGCGCTGAACACACTTTTGATATGTTTAGTTAAAATTCGTAAATTGAGGTTGTTGCGAGTTCTACGGGTCAGTTATCAGGAATGTCATGTTTGTTTTTATCACAGCTGATGTTTTCATGCATTTAGGCCAGGTCGGGTCAGGTCAGGTCAGGTCAACCAGTAGGTGTCCTGCGCTTATCCATAGTAGGTGTCAACCACCACTGATGGCGTCGTAACATGTTACGAAGGCACTAAAACTATAACTTCTTAAATGTTAAACTGAATGCTAAATTCGAAATCAGCTCCAAAAATTGTCCTAGAAACATGTAATTTGTAAAACTCCAAAGGGTGAACTAAGGTCATTAAAGGTCAGTGACCTTGACCTAATTTTCACGTGACCTTGACACCCACCATATTGCATGTGACCAACATTATATCACACGTTTGAACGCTTGAAACCACGAAAAGACAGCATACGCGCGGCTAGTGCGCGCCGACATACGCCGAATCGCGGTTCCGGCCAAATATGTTCTCGTAATAATAAATTAATATCAGATGCTGATTTACCGCTGCCCAGTCAAGTTAGAACCATTTCTTGGCCGCGATCACCGGCCAGGCCACCACATAGGTAATCGTATTACACCGCGCTTGCTCAATGCTCAGTTCGTATTGTAAAAGCACTGCGGCACAGCATAGATGCAGGCGCTCTGCTACTGCCATCTATGGGTGAAAGATGAAGATAATGGTTATTACGGTACAGTATCGCTACAGGCGCAAACAACGTGGAAACAAAGATGCCTATGCTGCGCGCTACCGGGCGATGGTAGCGTAAATTTGCGTTGCTGGATAGCTAAAAGTTTTGGAGCCCGAATTAACGTAACCTGATGACCTAACCTTGAGTGACCTAAGTATGAAAGTTACGCAGCATGTGTGAAAAAGATGTATGAAAAGGTGTGCCAAAAACGGTGGCGCTACACAACGCCGTTTTCGAGATATTTACATAAATCCTCATGGGGTGTCCAAGCATCCCCACCGCCCGGCGCGGACATTTCTTTTGCACGTGAAGAGCGCACCTTCGGGGTCCACCAGGAGATGGATATGCTCAATAACTATGCGGGAATGCATTCTGGATGGCCTGTGTACATTTGGCACTTTGAGCTTGCTAGCGCTACCCGCTCTGCCGTATATGTGACACAGAGTGCGACGTCAAAAGGTTTGCACGTGCACAGCACGTGCACCGTGCACCCCAGCACATTTATTTGTACAGCGCCTTAAAGCGCTCGTCCAGCCGGGTCAGTGTGCCAAATTTGGTGTGCCTAGGTCAAGGTTTTCCGGAATCGGAGGATGCCTCCTCAAAACATGTTTTTCGCCCCGGGCGCGTGCATTCCGCACCCCCTGCTGCCGAGCATACCATATGTTAATGGCCAAACACCGGGACATGTGACCTGTGAATTGGGCACCTGTGCCGCCCACCGTTTAATTTGGAGCGTCGCTTAAAGGTTTTTGCCCTTCCTGACTTTGACGGCACGTGGCACGCGCCACGTGACACCGAATGACCTGTGACATGCGTCATCACCTGCCTGAAAGCATTACCCGTCGAACGGTACCACCAGCATCTCGATCCGATCATCCGTTTAGACGCAATTCCAATTGTATTGGCTCGATGACCTTTCAGAGCACGGTTTTTGGCAACGTAAAATGGCGCCTTGTCGGCTTCACTATCTTCCATAGGAGGTCCATTGGGATCGTCAGTCCAGTTTATTTATACGTCCGTGGGAGAAAGTAAAATTTTGTACGGTCGTCAAGTTAGATGTAAGTGAATCCTAATCTATAAT